ATGTAAACAGCTAGATGTTCCTTGTCGTTGTTTCAATACCAAAATGATCCAGCATGGAAGCATATCTCACCAGTTTCAGAACGAGTTATCTTTTTTTCGCTAACTGCTGATACCTAGCAAAAGCTGTTTTTAAAATGACTGTTGAATTTGACTCGGTTCTGATATCTTAATTAATATTTTCGATATTTTGATCAACTTTTCTTTCACCGTCGCATTCATTCTTCTCAGCTTTTGCAGTTGTCAACTTTTTCCGCATTCTTTTTTTTTTGAGCTCACCGTAAAATTTGAAAAAGATATTAATGTAGGTTCTTGCGCTTCACTGGCCATTTCAGCTGTTAATATTTTCTTTCTTGCATAAAAAATGAAATGTTGGAAAGTGTGCCAGTAAAATATCACCACGAAGACTATAGAGCCAGACTTATAAAGTATGCATTTTGGCAGACAGCTGAGCAAAAATAATTCACAAGCTTTTTGTTTGTCCCCATCTCAATCTAGAGCACTTCCTGAGCACAGTTACAGCGTAATGCTAGTGGCTTCTGGTATGTGGCTCACATTTTCAGTGCGATATCGAAACAACTTGGTATAGAGACTTTCAAGTATATTTTTGCGTCTAAACTTATTTGTCAAAATATGGGCCTACTTTCCTGTTTTACAGGCTGATCAGCCTATTGAAATATGCGACAACGCGTTAAATGTGCAATATGTGAATCGCGCCTACGAGTCATCCACTGGATGCCGGCGGTCCGTTTCGATTACTCGAAATTTATTTTTCTTGCGTAAAATCGTACACACAATTCAAGCGCAGTAATGGCATATTCAGTTTCTAGTGAAAGAAGACAAAGCCTAGATCTGGCTTCATTTTTGGGGGGACCTTGCTAAGCAGCGTTCTATTAGCAAATTAGCTCATGAGTACTTGTTTTTTTTCTGAGATTTCAGCATTTTTAGCTTTCCCTACTTTTTCTCTTTTTGTGCATTCACTAATACCAATATCCTTCTCACCAAATTTTTGCATTTGGCGCCAAATTGTAGTGCCCTTTTTGATTGATTGTAGCACTTTTTTCACTAATTTTCTTGCGATCCGTTTTTGTGCTGCACAGATTTTTGCTTCTGTATATTGCCTTTTTGGACAAATTTTCGTTAAATTCGATGCATTTCATACCACTAAGCGATTCAGCTGATTCCTAATCAGTTGCTTCACTTTCTGTGCATCTAAATGTGCATTAGTGTGTTATGGAAAAAATCAGTATTAGTCTGTTAATTCAGCCCTAGAAAAACTGCGAGGAGTCCTAGCAGGCAATCATGGAAGTGTTTTTCTTTCGGTCACGGGCATTATTGTTAAATTGGGTGTGTTTAACATATGTGACACCGCTACCAACTTTTAAAAAACCCGCGCAATCTCTATGGCATCTAAATTTGTTGAATATTGAAAGTTTTGGGGCATTTAAAATCACATGTTAAGCTGAAAAAAAATGTGCTCCAGGAGTGAAGTGCTTGGCACAAAGTCTTCGGATATTCGGCGAAAATCGTTGCATAGTTGTGTACCTCGTGCAAAAGATGGAGACAGTGACGCGGGACACAGAGCAAGTAATGATTGGCGCTGCATACAGGTGCCGGGAAGCTCAACTAGGTATCCCTTATTTCATTCATTTTAAAGATAGTGAGTTTAATTTAACACGAATGTCGCATATATATGTTTATATGTAATACGACTATTTTGCTTGCGTTTTTTTGCGTAAAGTAATATTGTTATAATTTCTTTTAAGTTATATTTGTTTTTTGCATAGTTTATTTCCTTTTATCGCGATTAGCATAATATTTGACTTTCTCCTCATATATTAAAATTAGTAGCCTGTGTAACTGGTTTACAGTTAGTAACGAAGATTTGTAACTTGTCATGTCAAAACAAACTGTACGAACATATCTGTCCACTAAGGACGTGTTTGTGGATGGAGCACTTCATGCTAAAACAAACTTTATTACAAAACAGACGAAACTGGAAGAAAAATTGTCGGCTCGGAACCCAGCCGCATCAACACACCACTGCCTTCGCTCCAGCACAATTAATAGTGTCAAACTCCACCATTCTAATTTTATCATTCTTATATCACAAGAGCAACTCGAGCTTCAAGGCGAGATATTTGCATATCACATGGAAACGCACGGTAATCCGGAGTAAGGAGAAGGGGATCGGTCGTCCTTATTCCTGGCGCGTCTCTGTCACTTCCTGTTGCAACGATTTTTTCTCTGGAAGCTGGCAACTGAAAGTCTTTTCTCCGAAAATCGGCTCAAATAAACACTGAGCTTAATGGGATGATGAATCAAGTTTGCAAATTAAAGGCCATAGAAATCCTGTAACTTGTCTGCGTGATTTTTTGTATCAGCTGTATGAATTGGTGCTAAAAATACGATTTCCAGTCCTCAGTTTGTTTATATGAAGCGCAACAGTGCAGATTCGGCGATGTGTCGTGACATATCACTGAAAAGTGTACGATCGCAGGCAGCACTGGTCGATGCACCTATCAATGAGGTATCGTACTTTGTTGTACCAGCAGCATACATTCATTTTTCTAAAAAACTATGAATGAATAGGCTGTTGCAACGCACCAGATTGTCATCCACCTTGAAAATTTTATAATGCTAGGCATTTTAATTAGAATCAGTCTTTCATCCTGTTTTGCTTTTCAAGCATTCTTCCAAAGAGGAGTGCAGTAAACAGTTGTGCAGGAGCCAGAGATAATTAATTCATGATAAAAATTGCCTGCGGGATTTTCAGACTGTTAAAAAACTACAATTTTAGGAAAAACCTTTACAAATTCGTTTTGGAAGGGTTTTCCTTAAACTGTGTTTTTGCCTAAACTATCGTTCTGCTCTTTTTTCGCGGAGTTGGAAATATGTGGCAGATACATAAACACACATGCATGCACGCATACAGATACACATGAAAGTACATGGAGAACCTCGTCATTATGCATTTTTATGCGTTTTTTGCAGCTATGCAGTGCGGAAAACGTATATTGACGAGTTGTCTGGGTGTGTCTGTGTGTGCGCTGGGCCTCTGTACCGATTTTTCATCTCGAGACCTACAAAAGCTACAGGGCTGAAATTTTGGGAACTTATTCTACATGCACGTAAGGGTCCCATCCCCAAAATGGGCGGTCTTACCCGCGTGACACCCACGCAAGAGCCCACCCAAGTTTTTTACGGGCAAGCTGCTAACTCGGGAATCAGAAATGCTTGAGGGCTGAAATTTTAAGGGGATGTTCCCCGTCCAAATAGGTATTAATGAGCTCAAACCCAACCCCCTGGTAAGCGTGGTACCCGCGTACGGGCCCGCCAAAATTTTCTTCGGGTGAGTTGATAACTCGGGAATTTGAAAAGCTAAAGGGCTGAAATTTTAAGAGGATATTCCCACTGAGCTCAAATTTCAACGAGCTCAAACCCAGATATTGGGTATGCGTGGTGCCCACGTACGGCCCGTGAAAGTTTTCTTCCATTAAGTTGCTAACACAGGGCCAGAAAAGCTAGAAAGCTGAAATTTTAAGGGGGTGTTTCCTGACAGTTCTGGTTGCCAGTCTTAATTTGTTTAGCTAGAAGCATTTGCCGGAAAAACTGGTGCAGGTAGCAACAAAAACTGCGGGAAACTGTGCAAAAAACGCATCTTCGCACGGGCAGCCCATGCGTTGCCCAATTATTTTATCTGCATAAATGTAGAAAACGCAAAAAAAAATGAGTTGAGCTAGTGGGTCTAGACAGAAATCTGGAAAAGTGTAACACTAAACTGTGAGCAGAGAAAAGTAACAGGAAGAAGCAGCAAGGATGTCATTTCAATTTCGGGATAGTAAAATGGATTAGTTTCATCGTAGTCATTGCGTATTTGCAATTTTTAAACTTAATGATAATTAAAATAACTTCTGACGCATTTTCCTCGCCTTTCTTTCCGTCCTTGGCAGCAGCGTTGGTTTTGGAATTCTCTCAGGTTTTATTTTTAGCTAGCTTTTCGATTTCTTGCTTCTACAACATACACCAGATACAGCTAAATTTGCTGGGCGTGAGGCGTGAAGTTTGAAATGCGAATTGAAATATTTCCACTAATTAGCGGATGCGTAAAATGCGCTACCATTATTGTGATTACACAGCTAAGCTTATCCCTAGATACACAGCATGAAGTGTGCATACGATCTGTTGTGGCTTATTCGTTTTGTAACATGCTCAACAACTTTTTGCGCCTTCTCTGCTTTGCGTTTTGAAAGTTTTTACCAGTTCTGCCCCTTTTACTAGCAAAACATTAATTCAGTTTTTCTGAAACATAGACACTTATGATAAAGACGTTCTGTATTTCACTGCTTATGAGTGCGGAGGCACTCGAAAATAGTCTAACAGGCAACACGTGCCAGCAGTGACCGCCGGCTGACGAAGCTGTCGATGACTTCTTCGGAGCAGTACTTAGAAGTAGTCTGATGGTGGGTCTGACTCCTTGGCGTATGTCTGTACCATTTACCATCGAAATGAATGAATGAATCTTCAAAAGACTGGTTCTTCCATTTGCCAGACTAAACAGGAAATTAGGTTTGAGGGTAGTGTACCATTGTAGCAGCGTTTTTGATATGCAGAAAAAAACAAATCCACGGATTAGAATTTTTCTTAAAGCATGTGGAAATTGTTTGACGCGCGAAATGCTGCAAACTATTTCTACATCTCGGAATTTTATTACCCCATTCCTGTGCTGTTTGTTCAGTTGTACTGAAATGCTTATGGTGTTGTGCTTCTAGCTTACTAATTTTCTGTGTCTGTTCGCTTTGCATATTTATTTACTAGCTGTTTCTTTAACATTTTTAGAAAATGAGTTTCTCGGAGCTTCGTATTTCTTGAAAGAGAGGGTGAGGGAGGAAGGAAGAGAGGTACTTGCCGTTGACTCGAATTCTAGCATCGCTGTGTAACTTCTGATAGTCTCTGGTAGAGCAACTAGACAGTGCCATCTATTTCAAATTTTGGGCTTTTTGTCCAAAATTCTTTTTTCTCTAAATCTCTCACTTCTTTTCATAGCCCCTTTTGAAACATTTGGTTAATTGACATGTTTCATGTTCTGTATTGAATTGTCTTTTCCATAACGTGCATCGAAGCGCAGAAAATGCTCTCTTCTATTCTCATAGCTGGACGGCAAGATTTCCAGGACCTTCCTTTTCATGTCTTTCAGAAACGGCTAATCGTTTCGCAACTGCTTTTGTTTCGTGAACTCAGCATTGGTTAGCTTCTGTCTTTTAGCATTCCAACTATATGAAAATCACTAATGCTTAGGCCATTATTATGCAATTTTGCATTTGCGCCAGAGGTGTTTCGCTTTTCGCAGCTTAGTTGCACATTATTTTGTATTTTTTCACTGCCACTTCGAATGGATCTTTTTTGCATATGGTACCGGTAGTGAGCTTTATGTTATACGCACTGTAAAAAAAAATGTGGTTTCTGCTTAAAAATACTGAACAACCGATCACTGTCACCCATCGTTTTTATAGCGTTTCTGGGTCAAGGTAACAAAAAAAGCC